TACATTCCTTTGGCAAGTATATAAAGATAATTGTTAAGCTTTTTGTATTACAAACATTTAAAATTCTCTTTTAAATTAAGTTTTTATTTATTTACATCTCAAATGTTTCCCCCCTACTGATCCCTACTCTCAGAGTTCTTCCCCCATTCCCCCACCCCTTTGTCTCTTAAAGGGCCCCACCCTGGGGCATCAAGTCTCTATAGGATTAGGAAAATCCTCTCCCATTGAGGCCAGACAAGGCAGTTTTCAGCTACATATGTGCTAGAAGCCTTGGACAGCCTGTATATACTCTTTGCTTGGTGCCTTAGTCTCTGGGAGTTCCCAGGAATTTGGGTTAGTTGATACTGTTGATACTATGGAGTTGCCATCCCCTAGTTCCTTCAATCTTTCTCCTAACTCTTCTCTAGGGGTCCATGATCTCAGTCCAATGCTTAGCTGTGAGTATCTGCATCTGTCTCAGTTAGTTGATGGTAGACCTTCTCAAAGGACAGCCATGCTAGGCTCCTGTCTGCAAGCACAACATAGCATCAGTAATAATGTCAGAATTTAGTGCTTGCCTATGGGATGGATCCCAAGTAGGGCTAGTTGCTGGATAGCCATTCCTTCAGTCTCTGTTCCATTTTGTCCCTGTATCTCTTTAAGAATCAGCTGACAAAGCTGTTATTAGTGGTTATTGTTTATATTCCTATTGCTTTGAAAAAAACTCACAACCAACAGTGACAGGGAAAAAGAGGGTTATTTTAATTTTTAGTTTCAAAAGCACAGAAACTGGCATAAAAAATGGCAGGGAGATAGTCTTAGGAAGCTGGTTGATCACATCGTGGCGGGAGAGGAAGGGAGAGAGAGAGAGAGAGAGAGAGAGGGAGAGAGAGAGAGAAACACACACATGCACACATACACACACACACAGCAGACAGAATGGGAAGTGGGACAAGGTTATAAGTGTTCAAAATGCTCCTCCAATCAGCAGTGATTTATTTCCTCTAGCAAGGCTCCACCTTGTAAAGGTTATGTACCTTCACCAAGAGCACCATACACAATGCATAAAACCACTACAGATCCATCAAGAAAAAGTACCTATCTTGATTCTATCTATGGCAACAATATCAATAACCTTACTATAGGACATAGGTATCATGAGAGTGATGGTGAAGATAACGATGATTATAATAATGGTGTGTGTGTGTGTGTGTGTGTTTGCATGTAACAGATATAGGAAGTGAGTGTAAAGGATATAATAATTTGTTAAAAAATACTCTTATAAATCTGAAATTGAATGAGATAGATAAAACAAACTATAGACCGTAAAGATATGTTGTAGTTTTCATTATAGTTGGCTCTTATTTTAAAAGCACTCTGAATCATAGGTATAGACAATGACTATTTTAGCCAATGTTTGAGATTCAATTCAGAGCCCACTGAACTATTTTGAGGATTATTTGGTCTAACACAAGAATATTTATAACGTAAAAATCACTGTACTTAGGTTATAGGGTGTTTTTTGTGGATTTTTTTCTTATTCATTGGGGAAATGGAGAGTTGGAGGAGAAGCATATGTACTGGAAATGAGATGGAATGCAGATTATAAGTAGTTTGTGGATATTTTCTATAAAACTTAAGCAGCAGAAGTTATTGCTTCATCCTAATTCAACAAGGGCTGGTTATACCCCATCCAGATGCCAGATGATGAGAAAAGAACAATGGACAAGAATTAATGTGTCTCATTAATTTTTTCATTCATTTTGTTACTTTGTGGTGGGTTTTGAACTCATTATCCAGTTTTGTATGACTTGAACAACTGGTCCTCCTCCCACTAGCTCCCAAATGCTGAGATCACAAGCATGTACGATTACACCCACCTTGAAAGGATTTATTAGACTAGAATAAGAAAAGCAATCACAAAGGGATATGGTATATGCTCCAGTAAATGCATGACCAGGTTTCAGAAGGATCACAGAAGGGATACCTAAACCTGATTTTGGAGACCCCTTTCCAGTAAAGAGAATATTTTATGAAGGATGTCTGAGCTGAGACCTGCTGGATGGAAGAGTAGTAAGAGAAATCCAGGAAAATGGCTCTTGTATGCATAGGCTCTACTTTAACAGATCATGGTATTTAAAATATAAAATATTATTTATGTCTGAGTGGAAGCCTAGAATTAAAACACTTGTGAGACATGAAATTGGAAAAAGTGGATTAGAGTGAAAGGGCGTTAGAGTAAAGTTTATTTCCCCAGGACAGTGAGGCATTTAAAGAAGTGATGGGATTCAAGTGGGTGTTTTAGAAAACTTCCTCCGACCCACAGTAATGCCCATAATATTTGTGTAATGAATGACAACACTGCTACTTCATTTCCATGCTTTCAAATGTACAATTAGCCTAGAAGCAAAGTCTAGCCTTGTATTCCAAAGCATGATTAATGTATAAGGCAGTTTGGCCTTATAATGATTTCTTATTTGCCAACTGTAGTCCTGCTTTCCTAGTATCTCCATGATGACCTCAGGCATCAGCCACATCCTTCAAGTTGACTTGACCAACAAGGGGGACATCATAATCTAGTTAATCAAACAACAGATAAAATTGTTATCCTTTGGTGTTCCCAAGACTTAAAATATATTCCTCAAGTTGCAACAGTGACACTCTTATTTTAGTGATAGCCAACATCTGTTTAAGGGGACTACAGACCCACTCAATAGGAGGAAAATGCCTGGTTCTGGAAACCTAGCTAACTGTCAAGGGCTAGTGAGGTCATAGATTTTAAAAGAGAATTATCACTTTACTAGACCATCAAAATTTTTAACTGCATTCAGAAATTTATCATTAGATACAGATGGGTGTATCTATAACTCCCAGTCAAAGAAGCTTCTATTTACAGGAGTAGCCATTGTAGAAAAGCACAATAGGTCATAATGTAGAGCTCAACGGATTGTGGAGAGCCTTGTTCTAATTAAACATCTATAGAACAACTCCTGCAAGTAATACTCAGGGAACATCATGGAAGACGGAGTGGAAAGATTTGAAGAGCCAGAGGACCAGGAAGTCTGCTGTGAGATTGTTTCCTAGACATGACAGGGAGGGTATACTCATGATACCTTAATGATATAGCTGCCTAAAAAGGACTGGAGTAATAATATTTTTAGATATGCTAACATAGAAGGGGATCTCATGGGGTCTCACCTCTAGAGAAAGAACAGCAGGCAACTTATCACTTTTTAGAGAGGGAGAACTATACTTTCCCAGGAGTGAGCCCCTAATTTATTATATAATACAAAGTGGTAAGCCCTGAAATCATAGACACACATGTAACTCTACATGGACTAAGCAAACTGTAATTATATAGTGATATAAAGCAATGATTAAAAAGAGGTCATCAATATGAGAGGGAAACAGAGGACACAGAAGATGTTGGAAGGAGTGGACTGGACAGATTGAGGTCTGACAGAAAAGGAAGGAGTAAAGTAATTATATTTTAAATAAAAAATTAAGACTAGAATAAGAAAAGTAATAACAAATGGATATGTTATATGCTTCTGTAAATGTATGCCAAGACTGGCAAAAAGCTTTTGCCTAATATATAGGGACTGATCCTTGGCGACATCAATTTGTACACTTTTGTGTTTGTGTGTGTGTGTGTGTGTGTGTGTGTGTGTGTGTGTATGTGTTCAGTCTAAAGGTTGATGTATGGTGTCTTTTTAAATCACTTCCTACCTTAGTTTTTGAGCCAGGATCTTCACTGACCGGAAAGCTCCAGGGATACTCTTTTTTCTCATTCCCAAGTGTTGCTGGAATACTGGTTTATATTTTTCCTGTGGGTTTTTTTTTATTGAATATTTTATTTCTTCACATTTCAAATGTTATCCCCTTTCCCAGTTACTCCCCAGAATCTCCATATCCTATCCCAACTCCCTTTGCTTCTATAAGGGTGGTCTCCCACCCACTTACCCACTCCCACCTCCCCACCCTGGCATTCTCCCACACTGGGGCATCGAGCCTTCATAGGACCAAGGGTCTCTTCTTCCTCTGATGCCCGACAAGGCTATCCTCTGTTTCATATGCAGCTGGAGCTATGGGTCACTCAATGTGTACTATTCCATTGGTGATTCAGTTCTTGGGAGCTCTGGACGAGGTGGTCTGGTTGGTTGATATTGTTGTTTTTCCTATGAGGTTGAAAACCCCTTCAGTTCCTCCAGTCCTTTCTCTAACTCCTCCATTGGAGACTCCGTTTTCAGTCCAATGGTTGGCTGTGAGCATCCACCTCTATTTGTCAGGCCCTGGCAGAGCCTCTCAGGAGACAGCTATAGCAGGCTCCTATCCATAAGCATGGCTTGGCATCTGCAATAGTGTCTGGGTTTGGTGTCTGTATATGGGATGGATCCCGAGGTGGGTAAGTCTCTGAATGGCTTGTATTTTTGCACCCTGCTGTTGACTTAGGTGCTGGGGATAGAACTCAGATCCTCATGTACATGGTTAGCCCTTAACCAATTGAGCCATGTCCTCAGATCTCTGTGTTCTGGGGATGGGAGAGTGTCACAGACTATATAGCAAAGATGAGATTGTGTGTGTGTGTGTCTGTGTGTGTGTGTGTGTGTGTGTGAGAGAGAGAGAGAGAGAGAGAGACAGAGAGACAGAGAGACAGAGAGAGACAGAGACAGAGAGACAGAGGCAGAGAGACAGAGAAAGACAGAGAGAGAGAGAGAACACAGTAATACTAGAAACACGTTTAAATAAGGCCTAAGATAATAAAGCTTCCTGAATTGTAGATATGTCTGAAGGTACATTTCTTTCATTGGCAGGAATAAATGGGGAAATGAAAAGAAAGAAATGAACTTCAATTTTTTTAAAAGTACATTTGGTTTCAATTTGGAGTTAGAATCGAGTATGAAAAATGCATACGGGCTTGAAACTCTGAGTTTGGAATGAGTATGAGTAGATGAAACAGTAAAGTTGCTTTTAGACTCGTAAGACTTCTTGACTTCAGGAAATCCTGCTTTATGAAACAGTGCTTGCTACCCGTGGCTGCTCAAAGAGACTATCGTGGAAAGAAAAGCTCAACTGCAGGGAAGAGTTGGTTCCCAGAAAGAGGCATGCTCCTAGTGCTAGCCAGAGACAAAGAACCTCTAGACAATCCACTTATCTGCAACAAGAGTTACAGCCAAAGAACATCAAGGTAAGTAGCCTTCTTAAAAAGAAAGACTGGACCCCAGAATTCATGTAAAAATATAAATTTATGTTTGTACTATGACATGAAATTAAAACCAATATTGTCTAGGGAGGGAACCAAGGTACTTATTGGAAAGGAGAGGAAAAAGAAAGTGTGGAAAGGAGGAAAGTGAGGGAACATGGAGAAAATGGAAAACTTGTATTTAAAAAAAGGTCTATGGAATCCAGTACTACAATTAGTATATGCTAAGAAAACGTTGGCTGTGTTTACACTATAAGCTTGTGGTATAAGCAGATAATGCAGAGGCAGGGAGACACTAAAGGAAACAGCTGTCATTGTTTGAATGTCATGGAAACCTGTGATTTAAATGATGGGCATAGTTTTGGTTAATGGTGCCTTTTAAATACTTTTCTCTGTGTATTCATGAAAAGATTGTTTTATCATAATAAAATTTCTAAGATGAGAAAAACTGACATGATTCTATAAGTACCTGAGCTATCACACTTAGTCTTTCTTTTCTTAGAAAAGGTTGAGTGAGGTGAATGTAACAAATTTCTGCTATCTAAAGAATTTTTGTAGCATGAAAAGTTTGGCAAATGTTACCTGTGGAAGTCTATAGCACAAAAATAGTCACATACAGTTAAACAGATGAGAAGGGCTGTTTTCCAGCTAGCATTTATAGAAATTAAATAGTGGGCTGGATTTGGCTCATGGGCCACAGGGTCTAACTCTATTGCCCAGGATGATCACTGATGAATGCAAACTAAAGATTCTGTCTTCAATGGAATATGACTTGTTGAGATTCTAAGGGAACCATGAGGCAGAGGAGACCACGACTTCCACAGTTGATGAGGATTCCCTAGTACTGTGATAGAAACCAAGGCTATGATGTTTCAGTGTAATCTGCCTAGAGTTCTGAGAGCCCCAAAAAGCTAAGTTACAGTGTCTTATCACACAAACATCCTCTCAATTTTGGAACAAGAACTGAAACAAAGATCTCATATCTGTGATCTTCCCAATAGTGGCTGTGACTTTTCAGAGTAGCAATGCCGTCTGCTTGGCCATTCTCTGCTTTCCTGTGGTTTGAGTGAGAAGAGAAGTATCACAGGATGTCTCAGAGTGAATCTTGGAGGGAAGGATGCCATTAGAGTAATGAAGAAAGATGAGACTCCTCCTAGTGTTCAGAAGTTCTAGAATCACATAGTAATCAAAATATATCTCAGATTCTAGAGTCAGTGAAATCAATGGAAAGGAGAGGGGCCTGCCGGTGCTACAAGAAATAATGTGTCTAAATATGTTCACCAGACTCAGAAGAGAACTCTCTGAAGACAGATCTCTACTCATGTGCATTGCTATGAAGTTTAAAATAGTGGGAAACATGCAGGAATATGTTGATTAATGGCTTTCTTGAGAACAAATCTCCTTTTTACAGACAGCTCTATTCGGGTAAAAAAATACTCTTAAGCCAAACTGCTCCATAAATTATGCAAAAAAAATGACTGCCAGCATCACATAAATAGCTCAGTTGCAATCTCTATTTGTCTTTAGTTAGATGTTGATAGATAGGGCTTGTCTCCAGCAAAGTCGTAGCAGCCAAACTTTTATCTTCAATGCCAAGTTCATAGGTACCTTTCCAAATGCATATGTGACCTCTATGTGCTTAGATTTCTGAATATGAGTGTAACTAATCTCTGATGCACAGGAATTGAATTACTTGGGAATGAACTACACATCTTAATCAATTAGTTTAATTTCAAGATTGCTTCAACAATCCTATTCTCTTACTTCTAGAGAGAGGAAATGTCTTTCAATTTTGTTTGTAAGAATGGTAAGTCACTGAGTGGAGAAAATCATATCACACCCAATTCCAATTAGGTCTGTAGGAATATACTGTCACAGTATCTAATTTGTGTTTCTATATTATACCACTTTACAGAATCCCAATCCTTGTCTTCTCCTGAACACACACACACACACACACACACATTTAATTAGCAAACATTTAATTTTTAACTCTCAAAATTCTTAACTGACAGGTTGGAATATGATCTTTTTTATACTATTTATTTCTAGCTGTTGTCATAAGCACGTGACACAGCGTGTCATTAAGCTCTGTCCTTTTAATGTTCTAGGAAGCTTAATGTTACCCATAGTTCAGAGTATTGGGGAATCGAGTAATAATAAATACATAATGAACAGCAAACTGTATTGGCTTCTACAGTTGGCAGTACAAAGATACAGTTGCAGTCTTGATTATCACTAACAATATGTTTTACTGTAATGAAATTTATATCACATAAAAGTAATCAAATCATGTTTAAGTGTTTGCCTAAATTGTATTTAACAGATTCATAATGCTCTATAATAGCCACTTCATTTTTTGTATGTATGTGCATGTGTGTGTGTGTGTGTGTGTGTGTGTGTGTGTGTGTGTGTGTATGTGTGTAATAGGGCTTCCATATTGGTGCTGGGACTTGAACCTGATTCCTCTGGAAGAACAAGCATTGCTCTTAGTCACTGAGCCATTTCTTTAGTCCCAATAACCACTTCTTATCCACTCAAACCCCTTTTATATCATCCCCCAATAAAACTTTATAAATTAAGCAGTCACTCTTTGTTCTGTTATTCTACCAGCCTCTGCAAACAGCAATGTGCTTTTTATATGTTACAGATTTACCCATTCTGGAATCATTTGTGCCTACACTGTTTTATTTATTTTCTATAATCATTCATATGATGGTATGAATCAATCAATGTCTATTTCTTATTGTGACAGAATAATATCTCCTGCTATGATTATATTGAATTTGTTTACCCCATGTATATAACGGATATTCAGGTTGTTTTCACCTTCTGATTCTTGTGAACAGTGCTGCTATGAACAATGATGTGTGAATGAGTATTTAGTATCTGTTCTAATACCGTGGGGTAGCTTTCATTTCAGTATTCTTATTGGACTACTAAGTATACGAACAAATGGGTCTCAGATTCTTTCTAGGAGTGAAATTTGTTACATCCTGTTATCCTATTTGAAGAATTGAAATCTACTTTCCACAGCAGCTTCAACCTTTCATATTCTTGGTTATAATACACAAAGGTTTCAGTTTATTCACAACATGATTCCATCTTCTCTTTTTCTTTATGATAGCCACTTAACTGACTATAAAGTGATTTTTCAATATGGTTCTATCTGCATTTACCTTATAACTAATGATGTTGAATACGTTTCAACATGTTTGTTGGCCATTTGTGCATGTTCTTTGAAGAAATGTCTATTGAAGTACTTTGCTCATTTTTAAGCTGGGTTACATATTTTATAACTTTCAAGTCAGATATTTAATTCACAAATGTTTTCTTTCATTATAATGGCTGGCTTTTCATCCTCTTGACATTTGTTTTGATACACAATAATGTTAATTTTAATGAGTCACAATTTACCTTTCTTTTATTGCTTCCTTTTAGTGCCATATCTAATAAACCCTAGTCAACATTAAGGTCATGTAGCTCTTGTATTTAGGTCAATTAAATTGACAGAGTTCTTGTATACGGTGAGAATTACAAATTTAATTTCATGTGGCCATACAGTTGTTCCAATCCCATTCTTTGAATACTGTGTTTTTTCCCACTGATTTGTCTTGATTCAGTGTTGAAAATCAACTCACTATAATTGTATTGTTTTAGTTTTTAACATTTTCAATTTTTAAAGCAAAATAAAATATAATAAGGCAGAACAAAAACTGTCACAGTGAAGGTAGACAAGGCAAGCCAACAGAAAAAAAAGAGAGATCCAAGAGAAGGCAAAATAATCTGAAACCCACTTGCTTATACTCTCAGGAGTTCCATAAAAATACTGAATTGAAAGCTATAATATATACACAGAGGCCTTGGTACATCCCCATGTTGGTTCCTTGTATTTAATGCTTCTGTGTCTGTGAGTTCATATGAACTTTGCTGAGTTGATTTAGCAGGCATTTTTTCTCTTGGTGTCCTCTGTTACCTCTGATTCTTACACTCTTTCTGTTTCCTCTTCTACAGGGTTCCTTGAGTTCTGAGGAGAGGTTATTTGATGGAAACATCCCATTTAGAGATGTTGTGTTTCAAGGTCTCTCATCTCTCCTCTCTCTGCCTCTTTTTGCCTCTCTCACTGTCTCTGTTTTTTCTTTCTTCGTGTGTGTGTGTGTGTGTGTGTGTGTGTGTGTGTGTGTGTGATATCTGGCTTCCAGTCTCTGTATTTGTTCACATCTACCACAGAAGGGTTTCTCTGATTATGGCTGAAGAAGGAACTGGACTATGAATACAGCAGAATATCATTAGGAGTCATTTCATTGTTACTTAAAAAACAAAACAAACAAACAGACAAACAAACAAACACAAAAAACTTACTAGCACCTGATTTTACCCTAGGTTTCTTGGCTCTCTTGGGTTTGGTTCTTGGTTATATTGATTACATCTCATGGAGTGAGTCTTAAGCCAAATTAGACATTAGTTGGTTATTCTCCTAAGCCTTAGGCCATTGTCACCCTAGCATATTTTGCAGGCAGGACAGATTATATATAGTTCAAAGGTTTTGTGATTGTGGTGATATATATTTCTCCTTTTTTAGCCTGTGTAGTACCTTCTTTCAGAGTGCCTTCCCATACTAAATACACTAGGAAGATGGTAATGAAAGTTCTTTGTAGGCACAAGCTTGAAAACTCCATGTTTAATGGTTTATGTGGACGCTGTCTTCAACAATGGAGGTTTTGTTGTCTGTGGATAGAAACATGTTATCTTGACAACTGCCTGAGTTGTTTGAGGATATACATGGAACTCCTTTGGCCTAAAATTCAATTGGATGTAACCTGGTCCTGATACTAGAAGCTTCATTTGGTGACAAGACATGAACAGTTGTGAATTCATCTCTGTCATTATTTTGAAACTTCAATAGGATTGGCTTCATATATTTTAGAAAGTTTCCACTGCATTAGATTTCTATATCACCCCTCAAGTGGCAGATTTTAATTATCACTTTTATGCCATTTGTTTGTCTGTCCTTATCCCAACATCAAGGTTTTGATTATTAACTTTGAACTATGTTTTAAAATGGAACAAAGGAATCACCCAACCTTTTCTCTTCAGGCAAATGTTAGCTGATCACGACCCCTTGCAGTGCAGTTTAAATTTTGGGATCAGTTTTCCATTTTCAATATAAGGCCACTTAAATTTTACTAAGGACTACTAAGGCTATGGATTTAATTGAGAATATTGTCTTTGTAACATTATGAAAATTTCTACTTATGAACACTGATCTAGATACATTCTTTTTTATTATTATTCTTTAAACTTTTTTTACAGTCTAGTCGTTGTCCCCCTCTCCAGCTGCCTTCTGACAGTTCCTCACCCCATTCCTCCTTCTCAGTCTCCAAGAGGATGTCACCCCCATCCCCACTCCACCAGATCTCCCCACTACCTAGGGCCTCAAGTTTTTCAAGGGTTAGGTGAGTTTTCTCTCACTGAGGCCAGACCAGGCAGTCCTCTGCTGTATATGTGTCAGGGGCCTCGGACCAGCTAGTGTATGCTGCCTTGTCGGTGGCTCAGTGTTTGAGAGATCTCAGGGGTCCAGGTTAGATGAGGCTATTCTTGGGCATGTCTTTTAATTTTTAGGTCTTCTTTTAAGCTTGCAATACTTGTCATGTTCAATATAAAGTATTGATTCATCTACTTGGTTAAATTTATTCAGATGTGTTTTACTTTCTGGATTATAAATAAAATTATTATTTTAAATTTCTTTTCACATGATTTATTGTTAGTATTTAGATATATGCTAGTTTTTCATATGTTCATTTTTTATCATGCAATTTTGCTTAGTTATCTAAAACACATTGGGTAGATGTTTTGCCTGTTAATATACAAAATCAAGTCATCACTGTGTAAGAAACAGGATTACTTCTTCCTTGGCTGTGTAGGTATCTTTTATTTCTTCTTGCTTATTTTCTCTGTGTAAAGCCTAGAGAGCAATATGAATGGCAGTAGTGAAAGCAAACATCTCTGTCTTGCTCCTAATTTTAGAGGGACTTCCCCCACTGGATGTGATACTAGCTGTGGATGTTTCTTAAGCATCTTTCACTAGTGGTCATTTAAATTATCAAATAATCAGTTCCCTTATTTGTCCTGCACCTTCCACCCCCGCCCTCTGATTGATTCATTCCTTGACCTTTCCCAATATCTCTAGATGATCTTCAGCTCCTCAACATTCCAGAAACATCTATATTGCTCTTCTCCTGGAGCCTTTAGTGCTTATCACAGGAATGGAAATTTTTCAAAGCTCATCTTTCAGTTATTTTTCACCTGATCTATTTTATTATATTTGTATCATCTATAAACTTTTCTAGTTGTTTATTTTTGTGATAATACCACCTATTGAATGTTGGTATATTTTACTAACTAGAGGCAGCCTTGATCACATGAAATTAATGATGCCTATTACTGCTGTGTCTCTGAGATTACAGGTCATGTCTTGGCAGCTAGCTAACTCATCTCATCTGCAGGGAAAATAGCCAAGTCCATGTGGCCATTTTATTTTGTTTAGATGAAGGTAAAGATGTTCTTAAAGTTGGATGTCAGTGTTTGCTCAATCACATTCTTATCAACAGAAAGAAAATGTATCACTTTAGATATACATGGACAGAAGTGACGGGGACTTTTTATAAAATGTAATATATTTCACTGTATGCTCTGATGCCACAGTTGAAGGATTCAGTGGTTCAATGATTCTAGCTGCAAGTTTGTATCCATCTTCTGACAATTGTCCTCAGATTGTTCTTCAAGACAGTTATGTAGGGTAGTGTAGTGACCATACAACATTCCTTCTTCACTTCAGGTGAGGGAGGGGAGGAAAGAAAAATGTTCCTTCTGGTATAGAATGCAAATAATCTCCTACACTCTGGTTGAGTCATCTCAGGCTTTGGCTGAGGGGAGAAAACCTTTCTTCTGGTATAGAATGCAAATAATCTCCTGTGCTAAGATTGGATCATCTCAGGCTTTGGCTGTTTTTTTCCATACCCTCAGATCAGCAAATAGAGTAGCTTAGATTCTTCATGTTATGGTTTAGAGAAAAAAGTTGACACTCAAAGAAAGTAAAATTTCTAAAGAGTCTTGAAAAGGCAAGTGAGTGGCAGTTATCCTTCCATTAACTTAGACCCATCAAAAAGCAAACAGGACCTTATCCTACCTATCTATAAAATGTCACCACTCATCATTTCCTGTCTCTCTTTTCCCTCTACTATCCACAGCTACAACATCATTGAAAATTGTCAGTTCCTGGCTTGGTTCACCTGTTTTCCTGTCTGCCCGAATTTTCATTCCTGCCCCTGACCTCAGTGCTCACCTGGCTAGTGTTTCTGGTTCTAGAGTTTTCAACCCACAGGTTGGCAGATCTTTCTCCCAGTCATCCTCCCTGCAAAACCTTCTACTGGACTGGCAGTCTGGATATTTGGTCTTCTGCATACCCTCATGAACTTCTTTCTTCATAACATTGAAGGCATTTTGTAAATAAGTATTTATTTGTATATGTGTTCAATGTCTTTTTACCTGGATCAGGAATCTCTTAGACTATAAAATACCTATCTATTATGATCATATATACCTCCTGGTTACACGATTACCTCATCCATACTCTGTACTTATTTCAATTCTTGAACATGCCCCACGTGGAGACATCTTTATTTCCTCCCGTTTTATATAAAATATTCTCCAAATGTATTGTAATAAACTGTTTTGTCTTTTTATTGTCATAAACTCAAATAGAGTAATTCATACTATTAAAATAAAAGGTGAAAGACAATTTTGCCTCTTGAACTTCATATGTAACTCCATATAAAAGATTATCAGTGTGAATCAACTATTATCCTGTCTTTCAACATGAGTATATAACAGGGAGATGTTTTCAGGAAACATAAAATTCCCACTGAGAAAAAGAAATAATATCATTTATAATGTACATATTGTATCCTGGTCCTGCTAATGGACACAAGTATAATACAAGTCTTCTTTTTATAAAGGCATAATTTTGATTTTTTATTGCCTTATTGAAGTATTTCTCACAAATTTTTAAGAACTAGAATTACTATTTTATTTATATTACCTATTCATATTATAATTGTGTGTATGTATTTGTTAGATGTGTGTGGGTTTATGTGACATAGTGCACCTGTGTTGGTCCAAGCATAACTTTGTGAAATTAGTTCTATCCTCTTACCTTTATGTAGGTTCTGGAGACTCAGGTCTCTAGCAAGCATCTTTATTGGCTAACTCATCTTGCCACGATCCTGAATTGCTTTTATAACTGACGAGAGAAATGATAAATCTTAGCAATCAATTTCACTTTTATAGTGTATCATAGTTTTATGTATAAGGAGTAGCCTCCAAGGGGACTTGGTTGGAATATCTAGTTTCTTAGTACTCCATGCTTATTTTAAAATAAGAACAGTGAAGAAGAATCATCAGATATAGTGGTATGTTTATATATCTCCTGGACCGTCATTTTGTTGTAGTTGGAGGTCCATTCTGTTGCATATCTTTGTTCAAATCTAACCCAGAGGTGTGGTGCAGCCGGAAGGCCACACCTGAGTGGTTGTCTGCTATGCAGGCTCCTCCCATCAACCCCAGTCTTCACCCAATTTCACTTTCTCAGTGAGCAGTTCCTGGATCTGGCTATAGCAAAAGAGCTTGACTGTCCTGCTTTGCTTCACTTCTCAGGTACCAACCACCTTCACCTCACTATATCTAATACACCGTTAGCATTGTACCACTCTCTTCCTAACGAAATGGCATGGGGTTTTATTTTTAAGATGTATTTTTGTAAATTCTTGTTGCACAGAGCTGAGTCTGGCACAGAGAACACACTCAATAAACATTTGTCAAATGAAAGAATCTTTCTTGAAAATTATATCTTTTAAAGTAAACTGATTATCTGACAGAGAAATAACTGCAGCCTATCCATCCCTGTATGATAGCAAAGCTTTCTTTGAAGCTGAAACTTCTTTCCTGTGCTCATACTTCAGAGAAAAAGATGCAGCTGATAACATCTCAGAGGAAGGAAACAGCACTTCATGCTGAGTTGTGAATATAACATCATACACATTTTTTTTTTTTTTTTACACAGTCCAGCCTCCTGAACAGTTTCCAGAGATGGCTTACCTTACTTGGCTTTTGGCTATTCTTCATGTGCACAAAGGTAAAGCCAATCCTATGTCTTCATTTAAAAACATTGCTTTGTTTTTGGTGTTTGAGTGTGACATGTGTAGGATCTCTTAGGCAATTTCTCACTTGTTTAGAAATACTAAAAATTATAAAAGGCAATTTTGTAGTTGAAATTGTCAGTCTTCATCATGAACTTATCATACTACTTGTTAAGTCTTACAAATTTTATTTATTTGGTTTTGTCATCATTGGATCTAACTCAATTTATGTGATATACATTTTAGCTCTGTGTGGAGAGACATTGTGGGACACAACTGTTCGGCTTTCTGAGACTATGACTCTGGAATGTGTATACCCATTGATGGATAACTTAACTCAGGTGGAGTGGACCAAGAACATTGGCACAAACAAAGTGAGCATAGCTGTTTACAACCCTAACCATAATATGCATATAGACCCTAATTACTTCCACAGAGTACACTTTTTAAACTCAACAGTGGGGTTCCGCAACATGAGCCTTTCCTTTTACAATGCCTCTGAAGCAGATATTGGCACCTACTCCTGCTTGTTTCATGCTTTCCCACGTGGACCTTGGGAAAAGAAGATAAAAGTAGTCCAGTCAGGTAAGGAAAAACTTTTCTTTTTGTCTACCAACAGTGTTTATTTCTAAGAAACCTAACTAAAAGCTTAAAATGTTATTGTATTCTTTTCCCAATTCCATTTCTAGATTGTTGATGTCATTTTTTCTCAAAGAATAGTGTCGTAAACCAATCCCATTTTTTTTCTTAATTGCTGTCATTTCTGATTACAAGTGTCTGCCAGGTTACAGTGATGTGGGAGGAAATGCAGATTTACATAGTCTTTTTGATGACATAAGGCTAGATTCAAATAATGTTTTCAACATGTAGATTCTTTTTTTTAATTTTATTTTTTATTGGATGTTTTATTTACATTTCATATGTTGTCCCCTTACCCCATCTCCCACCCACCCAGGAATCCCCTATCCCCTCACCCCTCCTCCTGCTACTCTGCAGATGTACCCCTATCTACCCCCACAACTCCCACCTCCCCATCCTCAAATTCCCATCCCCTGGGACATCCAGCCTTCGTGAGACCAAGGATCTCTTCTCCCACCTATGCCCAGCAGGGCCCTCCGCTCTTACATATACAGCTGAAGCTACAACATGTAGATTCTTTAAAGCTTATCTCAGCAATACATGAGACCATGCCCATTTGCTCATCATTTGACACTAGTTTTAGCACCTTAATATCTAGGATCTCTTCTGCATGGCTTATTCTGATTTTATTGGCAAATTCTAAACAAAATTTAAGACAGAACTTATCTTCAACCCATATACTTCCTTTAGAAACTGATAGATATTTTGTCAGAAACAGAATAATGATGTAAGTTAAGTGTACCAGTGAGTATGCTTAGATTCTTCTCATATGGTCACATGGATTAGGTATGATACATCAAAGGAAGTCTGGATTTTACAGCCATAATTTTTGTAAAACTTTGTGTTAGTGGCTCACTCCCTTTCACAGAAGTAGCAGAACAACATATGAAGTTATTAAAGTTATTAATCATAAATATTTATTTAAAAAAAATCTACCATTCCAAATCTCAAAATCTTTGGAAGGCTAGTTTTTTTCTAAAAAGAACAATGTGAAATTAAACATATTTGTTATATTTAAGTATTTACCTTAAATATATCTAAAATCTTTTTATACTTTATTTATAATTTAACAAGATTTATAAGTACTGTATTTTATATAATAATGGAATTTATCTATTTAATACTAAAATCAAACTTAAAAATGCAGAAATCCTAATGTGCATAGTCAATTGTCAGAGTTATAATATAAAGAGGGAGGTGATATATTTACTATTAAAGAAAGAAACTTAAAAGTCAGAAACCCTAATGTGCGTAACATTGTCTAAATTTCACAGGAAAGAGTAACACCACATGCTAGTGACAATTATTGACTTCTGTTCTTCACTAGTAACTCTCTATGGTTGAGAAATCTTCCTTTCAGTACCTTAGACAGATTTCTTTATCCATTCCCACTGTACACTTGGACATAAACATTACCTTCACAATATCCCCATATGGGAGTGTTGGGCTTAGTAAAGTCTTCTGGCCTTTCCAAGGCTTCCAATCTGTATGAGTCCCATAGAAATAATAACATAGTTAGATGTTAAATGCTGTCTGGGGAGACACGAGCCTCTCGGCCTTGAAAGTATGATATATGACCATTGCTTATGTATCTATAGTACTCTTTTATGCCTTATTCTCTCCTTTTCTTAGTCTTTTAGCAGAGAATTGAGCTAGTTAGAGATCTTATTTTCAATAAGTGATACTATTAGCAGAAAGGACATTAAAATGTTTGTTACCTTTAAAATAGGGATTCTTAATTACTAACAAAATTAAATAGACAAATTGGTGCTGTATTATTTTCCCAATTCAGGTAAAATATAGGACAAAACTGTTCTTTGATAGCAGAGTTTGTGGTAAAAGTCTTGAGGAACACTTTGCTCATCTTGTATTCCTGGCCTTAGTTGTCAGTTAAATAAAATATATTTCTAGTTAAATAACCCCCTACCTGCTAGAGAGCTACCCATTCCAATATCCTGCCCAACTTTTACTAGGTATTCACTTTGTATGAAGCAATTGAATGTCTCTTGTAGTAAATTTAGATACTCAACTACAGGGTAGAACATTTTCTGGTGCTTAATTTAAGATGATAGGGGTGAGAGACATAGAGAAACCATCACATGCTTGCCAACAGAGATGAATCTCACGGCTATTTTGGAATATAATTCATTAGCTGGCTAAAAGACCACATATTCTATGATACAATAATTCTGCTCTGTTTGCTATTTTTAGACTTTACTCACATTAATTTGAAACCCCAACCATGTTTATAGCAACAGTGATGACCAGATCAATATTTGGGAACCATCCAGAAGTTCATCAAGGGTAGGATAGGCAAATATGAAGGGCTCACCCATCCAGTAGTTAACTGCATTCCTAAGGGAGGACATCTCACTATGCTCACTAACAGAGATGAAACTCATCAAATTTACACTGAGGAAGTAAGCATACCAAAGATGACTTTGGGTGTGGTTCCTATCCTTTACATTTCATAGTCATGTAAGACTGAGCAAAAGGTGATTGATTGACATATAAACAACAACAACAAAAATAACAACAAGAAAATAAAGCTACAAGAAACAAGGAGTTCTAAAACATGATCAGGAAGAATACAGAGTCGAGATCGACCCCCAGAGTCTTCAATGCTCATCATCATAGTGATACTCATATATAGACATTTTATTTACTCTTCTCAGTACTATATTATAAAATTTCTTTCGTACATGCTGAATTTCTAGAAAAACATTGAAAATATTTAATTGCAGTTTTTGAGCAGTTTAGAGATTTCTACTTAAGGTAAGCACACAATTTCCACTCTTATTTGGCCCGAATGTTAGAGAGAAAGAAACTTTAAGAATGCACTCAAATTTTTATAATATAAGAACTGGAAGAAATTAGCTTTAGTTTAAAATGACAGAGAATTAGGGACCAGATTGGGCTTGTAAGAAAGAGTTTCTGGTCCCCTGAGTTTTAACATAGCCTCAGAGCACCTATCATTCAATATTATGGAACAGTAGAGCAGAAGAGCAATTCAGAATTGAATATACTAGCTTTAAAGTTATTATCACCCAGCATGTGTGAAAATGATAGTTAATAAAGTATCAATGGGTAGAAGGAAAAGACTAAGGTCATAGTCTGGAGAAGGATCAAATTGAAGTGTGTGAGGGCATTTGTGTACAAACATGCAAATCATGGGGAAAGGAGAGAGATAAGCAGGTGTGGAGGGAAGGATGAAGCAGGATCAGTGGTGTTGGACCAGTTAGGTTAGACACCGAGTTGCTTCTCACTGTGTCCCTTTAAAGACTGTCGTTCTTCTTGGGTGAGTCAAAGATGTCCATGTCTTCCACATTTCTTTCTATGGTCTCTTTGTTACCCCTTTCCAGTCTATAACTCTTTGCCCAGGTGCCAGCAGTTGACACAAAGGCTAAATGGGCCATGTGTGTTTATTGATGGTTAGCAATGCTCAGAGATCCCTTTATTATTTGGGGCCCCAGAACTGGGAGAAGTGCCATAGAATTTCATGGTAGAATAGTTTCAAAAGACAATGTTCACCTTTAGATTAAGTGGGGACAGTATGTTTTCCCCTCCCTGTAGTGTTAGTGTGATGTCAGGATTCAAAGATGGAAAGGGAAGAGTGTCCTAGATCCAGTTTCCATAAATAGGCTTGCTGACATGGGAAAATGAACTCATCCATTAACTCATCCACCGAATCCTTATTAAGAACCTAAACTATTCTAAATAATGCTAAGTGATTTTGAAGATAGAAAGGCATGGACCTTAGCGCTACATGTAGTTCATCCTGGTTTACAGATCACAGCTTGGCTTCAGTAGGTGGCTTTTGTCTGCCTTTATAATTCATCTTAATATATCAGCATACTTTTATTTCAGAGTTTGTTTTGTTTATCCAGAATTAATGAAGAAGGAAAATGCACAAAATGACTCTTGTGTAGTATTGAGAGGTACAAAGTAATGAAGGTAGAGACTTGGTCAGAAAGGCTAAGGGCATTCTGGATGTTAAAGGACATTCCAAAGCTGGTAAGAGGGTCACTTAAAAAGAGTTTCCCACAGACTCTTGTTTCAAAGATTACTGGAAATTGTTCAGATCTTTATCTGTATTCTTTTAATTCTCAAATGTCGAGTGAATCCACACTTCTTCCTCTGGTCCTTACTATAGCTACTCTTTACCCATTCTGAAAGATGCAGACAACCACAAAATCTGGAACACATTTCCTCTATAGAGCAGGTGTTGGAGTGCTGGGTTCTGTGGGTGCTGGTATGTGGTGGGGACAAGGCCTCATGCATGAGTAAGAGTAAGATGGGCACTCTTTAGTCTTTGATACCTATCAACATCACCATGGAACATATTCAGCCCACAGGTCAGGGCTATCCAAAACTGTCTAGGCTTCTGCTTAAAATTTTTCTCATCAAAAATCAAAAGATACAGAGAGCAAGCTCTAATTAGTGCATAGATTATAAATGATCATTATAGGAATTTACGCATAGTCTAGTCACAGTACTGAGTAAAGGCAAAATTGTGGATTTTATTTTAAAGAATAAAAACATTGAATTTTGAATATGCAAATAAGAAAATAATTACTGAAGGAAGTGGGGAAAATAAAACTCTTGGCTGTAGGGCTGGCTTGAGAGAATCTTCCATGAACTTTCTCTGAGGCAATGCTGCCAGTAAGAATCTGATTTAAAACTGTCAAGAAACAACCTGATTTGTAAACTGTATTTTTGATGTTGCCCTTTGTTTTGGTTTGACTTTATAGGTATTGGTGGTTAGGAATAGGATAACCTCTCCCTTCCCTCAAGAAAATGGTGGGAAAGTATTTGTGAAGAAAATAAACATTTTAAAACTGCTAACAATTTTAAGACCATCAAGTCAATCCTTCTGGGATCAACGCAAAAGGACTCCCTGGGGCAACATCTCATGTACTTACATTAGAATTGTTTTAATTAAGTAA